ATTCTGTTTTGTTTTGTTTTTCTGACAATAGAATAAACAACACTCACGCTTCGTTCCCATTCGAGGTAGAATGTAATATTATGTAAGGATCAATGATATATAAATCATTGATTATAATACGTCATTGTTGAGGATAGAATAATCTCTATGGAATAGAATGTCAGTTGATAACACATTATCCGCCATATTGGTTTATTTTATTTTTTGGTAAACGTTTTTTAGAATAACATGGAAAAAAATATTGATGGATTCTTCTGTGTCTTTGTTAAATGGTTAAACTATTTTTGTAATTCCCGTTCGGCAAAGCTTTTGAAGTAATATTACATCTTTGTACTGCCTTTTAACATTAAAGAATTTAACGATCCATTGTAAGAAACAGTCATAAGGTATACCAGCAGATGTTTTATGATCCTTAACAATTTTAATCTACTAAGGGGCTACATTGACACGCATCATACAGAGGAAACAAACGCCATTTACACTTTTACACATACATATTTAAAACAAATTTAATGATACGAGTTTTGAGTTTCCAATGTTTATAAAATATGGCGGTAAAATGGTTAAAAATATTCAGCATGTCAGCGAGATAGTGGCTTAAAAGCTGTGATCAACCGTCGCTTATAATTTGAATAAGGAACAGAAGGATCTAACTAAACAAATGTAAAAAAAATAATAGAAACATATGGACACGGATTTCGTTGCGTCGTGTAATTCATTCAATCACTTTTTCTTTTTCTTTAATATTCAATTGAGGACATACGGTTGCGTAATTTGATTGTGCCTATAGCCACTATTCTTTGTAGTTAGTTTGTACAAGCAAATTAAAAAACTCCTTCATTTATAACGGTCACTATGACAACGCAATCTTATAACTAGATTTTCAGAACATCGAAGATAATTACCTAAAAAGGCATTTAAACACTGAAATTAGTACTTCTAAAAACGTTTGTATCTTGAGAAATGTATATCTGTATCCAAATAATAAGCACTACACTACACGTTTCTTTCTCGTGTCTTATGATTGTGGTCGTTTGTTCTAGGCAGGTAAACGAGCGCTTCCCGGAACAGTATTGTGTGCTTGCGCCGGCGCACCGTGCAAACATCACGACCGCAGCGAGATATTGATGACTCGGTGAAATATTTCACACGTTCTATATTAGAACTTGTTGGGTTTGTTTTAGATTTTGAGTTTTGTTTCCCATTACTTTGAAATTTAGGTAAGATAATTTTAAGATAAACTTACTACATAAATAAGTGTAGCATTTGTCTTGTAGAGAGTTTGGTAGTCTCTTATTTTTTTATTGCATGCAAACATGTTTCACCATCAACTGCCACATTTAAAAGTCGTCATGCTCTTACCCTTTTGCATAATTTATTTGAGGTCGGTTATTTAACTTAATTTCGGATTGGGGTAATTTATAATTAATTCATGGAATAGTCGAAACCAGTAAGTATTTTTTCAGAATGTGAGATATCTCTTTGGTATCTAAAAAACAAAACGTTTACAAGAGCGATACTGTGAACAATGACGGGCCTTTTGGCCTAGTGGTTAGTGACCCTGAATGTACGCTAGAGGTCGTGGGTTCGATTCCCACCCAGGACAAATAATTCTGTGATGAGCACGGTCAATTTTTCTGTGTCTGGGTGTACTTTATCTATAATTGTATGTAATTAGGAATACTCATATATAAGTATGTTTATCAGCATGGGATCAGACCGCCGTGTGTGATATGTGTAAAAATATATATTTAAAAAATGCTACGTAGTGATTAGACATGGAAAGTATTGCTACTTTTAAATCATATTCATTCTATAGAAATATTGGTTCTAGTCACAGTGATTTCTCCGGTGATTGTGATTACATCATAGACAAAGATAAATGCCACTAAAATCAATTAAAATTATTTTTATAAAATATTTTATTTTAAGACTGAGACCTTTCGTAAGTCTTAATTAGTCTCAGTGGTTTTGTAAATTAGTCACAGGTGTAATTATATTATCAAAAATTATATGATTTATTACATGCGATTCTGATTTTATTCCATCTCTAGTAACTCAGAGACAAGTGACTTGGCCTTTCTCTCTCTCTGCAACTATTCTTTGAATGTAATTTAAATATACTTGTACTTTGTATCGCTCGGGGCAATTTCAAAGCCGGTGCTATATAGATATACCTCGACATGATCTTAGTACAGTAAGTTACCATATAGGAATATTAAAGGCGCTGAGATCAACTGAGACACGGAAACCAAGTCAGTAAATAGGATATGTTTTGTTGATTGTTTGTTTTGATTTAAAGTGTGTTTTAAAAACCACATACATATTTATTTATATTGCCATGGGAGAGCATTGCCTTGGCAAAGTCTAAATCTCATATGATTTATATGTCATATAATCACACCTGTGACTGATTTACAAAACCACTGCTACTTATTATTATTACTCTCGCGAAAGGTCTAAATCTCAAAATAAGGTCGTGATATTTGATAAAAAGAATTTTGATTGATTTAAATGCAATTTATCTTTGTCTATGACGAAAATACACACACATGTGAAATCCCTGTGACTAAAACCAATCATTTATTAAATGAATATGATTTAAAAGTAGCAATAATTTACATGTCTTCTCGGTACACATGGGCCAGGCTCGATCGGAGTGATACCATGGCCTCACAGAAAACTGGTGTTCTTTTGTTGCTTTTCATGGAGTAAGTGAGGTTGACGTCCAAACTAAGGTAGTCACTTTCTATCAGGTGACCGTCTGCTCGTTACTAACATACCTACGTATTTGAAAACTGTGTGGGAATATAGGCCATGATAACAATAAATTGCAATAAATGCCATAAGACGCTTCTCTCGAAGCTCCCTTCCTATGGGCTGGTTGGTTGTGTGATTGGGTCACCCGTTTCCTTGCGGACAGGAGCATTGAGGTAGTTGTCGGCGGTGCATGCTCTGACTTGAAATCCGTAAATGCTAGTGTCCCGCAAGGCTGTGTGCTATCACCCACACTGTTTCATCTGCATATCAATGACATGTTGAAAACTAGTAGCATCCATTGCAATGCAGATGATAGCACGGGAGATGCACTTAACACCGGCCACCCCGACATTTCTCGGGAAAATGTCATAGAGAGGCGAAACAAACTTGTGTCTGAAATTAAAACTTCTTTAGAGGCGGTTTCAGATTGGGGCCGACTAAATTTAGTCCACTTCAACCCAAAAAAGACACAAGTATGTGTGTTCACCTCGCAGAAGATACCATTTGTCGTAACACCTCGGTTTGAGAGCACCTCCCTAATTGCTTCAGCCAGTATCGAAATCCTAGGCATCGACATGTCGAGCGAAGTCCAGTTTCGGGGTCACGTAGAGGGTAAGGTCAAATTGGCCTCGAAGAACCTCGGTGTGCTGAACAGATCAAGGCAATATTTCACTCCGGCCCACCGCCTTCAGTTCCATAAGACCGGCCGCATATGGTATTCTGTTGTCATCTTAATGCGTCTGCTCGTCTGCACCCTCTAACATAAAAAAATCTATATATTTCCATATTGTTAGATTAGTAAAGTGTGTCCCTTAATCCTTAAAAAATTAATAAATAAATGTCAAGTAGACACTGAAATTATGGCTACTTTTAAATCATATTCATTTGATGAAATGATTGGTTTTACTCACAGCGATTTCACATGTGATAGTAATTTCGTCCATAGACAAAGATTAAATCTTTAAAATCAATTAAAATTCTTTATCGAAGATAACATACGATCTTCTTTTTTTTTATTTAGACCTTTCGGGAGTCTTGCGCTAGCGTAATAATAATTATTAAGGTTTTGGAAAACAGTCACAGGTGTGTTGATTAGATTTATAAATCATATGATTTATCACATGTGATTGTGATTTTGTTCCTTCCCTAAAGTCAAGTAAAGAATCTATTTAATTCATTTTATGAGTTTGTTTGTGACAAAAACCGAAAAATTAAATTATTAGAGGCAGTTGGTCTCTTTTATTTTTAGCGCCATCTACATTTTAGTTACGTATCACCATTACTGCAAGTTGCCGAGATGTGGCGCTAGCTGGTTTGTTATGTGTTGACCTGTTGCATTGTTTCTACGTGAGACGGCGGAGGATTACAACAAAACAAAACAAAGAGTCTTGTTATTGTTATCTTTGTGATTAGTCGAATCATCATTTAGTAATGAGGCGTTCTTATCGAAATAATACAAAACTTATGTGGCAGTAAATATATTCAGAAAATATCAATCATGATCGCAGGTATTTAACGATTTTATCAATGTAAAAAAGTTTAAAATACAAATCAGTACGAATTACCTACATAAATGTATATAATATTGTCGACTTCATTTGTATACTTAGCTTTTACCTTAAAATTAGTAGTTCAGTTTAGTTTATTACAGTTTAGATTTATTATTGCTTTATACAATATCATCGCGCAGTCGTCCACACGTTCTATGTCGTACACGTACACGCTAACGCTAGTCACTTAATTTAGATTAATAATAATTACATATCACAATGAGACGTTCCTTCAACATGATACACTCGCACACAAATAATACAAAATACAAAAACGAAGGCACGAGATCTAACTATAGCTACGTCTAGTACAAACATGCTCCGCTAACGTTATGCTAAATGCACGCGCGCCCCGTGCGGCGCGGCTCAGTCGAAGTCTTGCGTTTAGAAGTCATATCACCTATTCAAATTTCGGTAGCGTTAAAGTGTTTCAAAGCGGTTCTGGAATGGAATACAACAAGCACAGCGGTGCGGAGGTCGTTCCCCGCATCGGCCGTGGGTAATGGAATGTCGGCGTTCAGCCGCTCCCGGCGCTCTTTGTGCGCCGCGCACCCCGCCCGCCCCGCGGCGCGCGGCCCGGCCCCGAGCAGGTAGCCGTGCCGCCCGCCACGCGGACCGGACCCTCTATCACTATTAACACGTCACACGGACGACCCAAAGTCCACTAGCCACTTCACACGCCCCGTCAGACTACACATTGTTCTTTTCTTGGAACTTATCGGCCAGCTCGACCATCAACTCCTTGTAGATCAGAGGATCGATGTTCTTCCCGAGCTGGTAAAGCACGAACCAATCGCCGATCTGTAAATTGCTGGCGACAGACTCCACCTGCTCTTGTGGGGCCAGACGGCTGCGCGCGCGCAACAGGTAGAGGCGCACGCGTGGTCCTGCCACCACAGCCATGCGGTAGATCAGTGAGATTCCACTCAGGATAGCCAGAATCATGAACCAGAACCACAGGAATACGTAGATCTTTTCGTTAACGATATTGAGTGGCAGCACGCATAGGCCGTCAAACTTCTGCACAGTACCCGAAGGACCGTACTTGTGGAAGGTGCATTTTGTTACTTTAGGGAACACTCGAGCCATCGGATCCACTCGGTCCTCTGGTTCCATTTCAGTAAAGCTTACCACGTCGCTACCGTACGTGGAGAACTCGCCGTCCAGGAAGAAATCCATGAAAAAGATCTGTCCGACGACGTTGATGAAATTTAAAACTTCGCAAATAAAGAAGCGGAACGCATAGAAGTTTTGCGTGTGCAGGTTTGTAGCGAAATAGTCTACGAGTAGTTTCTTACGGTCGGCCTTACACTCCTTGCCAACCACAGGGCAGTTAAGATCGAGCACTAACATCTTGATACGGCCTCCTTCCCACGTTTTCCACAGGTATCGCGGCACATAAAATAAAATCGCTTGGAAGAACAACACAAAACACACCCATTGGTAGTACTTGTGGTATTTAAGCTCGTCGCCTTCAGCTTGTGGGCCCACCCCCAGCTGCGCCACGTCCTGACCAACACGTCCCACCAGTCGGTTAGGGATGGTGAAAGTTGAGTAGATCCAGCAGTACGTGTCCATGACGGCGAGCGGAATCTCATCGACGATGCAGTCGATTGGGTCTCCGATGTATTGTCTTGAAGTTACAAGCAGCGAAAACGCGATCAGGATGATCACAGTAGCTTTGTAGTGCAAACGGAACACATTGTTGTCGATGCACACAGAGTCGAGCTTGAGAAGCCCCTTCACGGAGCCGAAAACGTCAAACATGGCGGTCGGGCTAGCCGCGAGCGCGCGGCGCGTCGTTCACGGTCGAGTAAGTTAGGGCGTGCGCTTCGCCCTCGCGTCGAGTGCGGAATGCTGATCGGTGGGGAGCACTTTTAGTCGAGGAGGGCGCAGGACCGCGATGCGGTGAGGTGCGGGTAGTGGGGGACAGCGGCCCCCGCCTCGCCGCTGTGCTGTCGCAACGCAGGTCGCAGACTCTCGGGGTAACGACACAGCGCTGACCCTATTTCTCCGTGGCGTCATCTGGTAGCATTCGGTGACGCTTGCCCAGGGGCTATGCATCTCAGTTGTGGCGGGTGATAATGCTAAAGGCGTGCGGCGCACTGCTTAATTAAATACTTGTCTAAGGATTGCTTGCATCACTCGGTTTGGGAGAGAGCTCTGATACGGTAGGCAATCAAGTATGCACACATAACGGTAAAGAGCCCGTGGTCATACTTGAAAAACTAGTATGGGCCGTGCGAGTGTAACCCATATACAGTTTTAATTTGTTTTAAACTTTCAACACATGTAGTTCGAGCGTATAATGAACGTAGGTAAAACTTTTAAACTTTGGTACCTACATGTCTTTAAATTTGCTAAACTGTTTGCTCATAATTGTGTCTTCAAGTTTACATTGACTTCATTATTATTTTAACGTATATTTAGGTTGATACCTAGTCCATACTTTTCATTCAATAAAGCATGTCAGTCGATGACATGCTAACTTTCATCCTTATCACAACTTATTCGACGTCATAGTTTTATCTGCTGCAACAACGGCATTTCACTTTAAAGAATACGCAGTTTGGGGAACTATAATTTAATTGCATTTTTCAGTTTTGGGTAGAAAAACTGATTGTCAGATAACTGATCTTAGAGAAATGACAAATTGTATTGTTTATCTAACTTAGACAAAGTATGCAGCCTTTTTGTCATGTCATATAGGCAAAGACTATTTAATTCTTTTTCTTTTTTGACGAACTTTATTGCTATAAATTTAAAAAATGGTTGTGGTCTAATTTCGACTAGTCGATAACTTGTGATCATAGATATGTGTATTGTAGATATAATAGGCGTAGGCTGACAGCTCGCTGATGCCTACGATATGTCGGCCAGAGGGGCAAAGTTCAAGTGCAAATAATTAATCTTATCATTGTGCCTGGTTAGAGTTACTTTATAGGAGCGATCAACTGGAAAATGGAACATATGATTCAAATGTAATAACAGATAGCATTGTAAAATGCATTTTTTATTAAATAACTGCCAGTAAATACACAATGAAGAATTTTTTTTACTCATCTAACCAAAATTGCATTTTTATTGCTAATTCGTATTTGACATCTTGCATGGCTTTGAAAGAAGAAATATAATGATTCATTAAACTTTTCTTTTTCATTTTGTGTATTTTATATAACATGCTGTTAATACATAATCCTCGTATTAAATCCTAATAGATATTTATTGCCCATATAATACATGGAATATTATATTATCTAGACTATTCTAGAATAAAAACAGTCATGAACTTTCTGGAATATTGAGTCATATTTTAGCTACGCATTTACAATTTGTTTGGATTGAAAAGAAACATTGCAGAGGATTTAAAACACAATTAATATTACATGCAAGTATATACAAGGATCATTTTTCCGAAATTTCATTTATTTACTGTTACGGGAAAATGTGTTAAATATTTTCTTAATTTGCCAAATTCCTAAAACAGCCTATGCTGTTATTCTAAATCCCCCTATACATATTTGTCAACATTAGTACAATAATAATATCCAAAAGCTATTGTGACGAGAAATAAAAATTATTCACATTCATAGAAAAAGAAAATTTCTATTGTAATTATAATTATTGATTTCTTAATGCATTAAAAATAAATTAGCAATGTCAGCAAGCACCTTATGTTACCTGAGGTAATTATTAATGTACCTACAGTAATATATTTATTGAATTCTATTTTTAAAATATGAAACTGAGTTTAGAATAATATTATAATATGGTGTATTTAAAATTAAACTTCATTTGTTTTAATCCTCTTTGACTCGAAAATTTCATGATTTGTAATTAAAAATTTTGTTTGCTTTGACTCATTTGAAAATGACCTCAGCCTTTTATAATGTTTATTTCTCCTATAATAATTAGTATATTATATTATAATCAGTATATTAGAAAGATATAATTAATTAAAGTGAAAGTATTTTTTTCTTTGCCTTGTAGAATGATTGAATCAATTAAGTAAGAGATATCGATTTATATGAAAGTACGGCATTTAAAAGTAGACAAGCAAGTCATTAGAAATAAATGTAAGATACCGAAGATAATGTGATTAGGAAAGCCTAATAGTAATTTCAATGTAGGTAGTATCTCTAAATAATAATTAACTAGTGTTTACCCGTAACTTTGTTCGTGGATTTGATTAGTTGTAGATTTTATCCATCAGTATTTTTTCTCTCTTAGGTATGCCCAAATGTTGACTTTTACCAATCTAATGTAAATAAAACCAAGATACCTTGTAGTAGGTCAGTGCGATTGTTGAATTACTTTTGCCCTAGGGCTCCACTATCAAAGTGACAACAAACAAGACTATTAACATAACAAAATTTATCAACGTTGGTTATACGATTTAGGCGCGTAAATGTAACAGAATATTAGTAGAAATATCTATCTATTGATGTGTATTTTTTTTAACTTCTTTCATCTTACACACGGCCGTCTGATTCTAAATTAGGCAAAGCCTGTACTATGGTAACCAGACTGCTGGTAAACATATTTATATATTTACAAAATACATACGTATTATGGATAAATAACATATTTAAAAAACAGACGCAGGACATATATGATCACACTCATCACACTTATATTTGTGCTGAGTAGGAATCGAACCCTCGACCTCTGGTACTTTCCATCAACAGTCAAGGCTAGTTCTCCTTTTTTTTCCATTTCAATATATGTATTCTTATTTTTTCTTAAAGTTGCCGAAGTATAAAATCCATGCCATCTATTAGATAAGTGGGATTAAAGTAATAGGCGGCAAAATTTTCTTGGCGGTTATTTGACATGCAACACAACGCAGCTTAGGATATTCCTTTCCTTTATGGAGGGTAGAGGCAAGGAGAACCATCTTTGTTTATGAAAAGTATCCGTAAAATAGCGTCCAATAAGGGGTGCTTTGCTGTAGCCTAGAATACATTTTTAGCGGCAAAAGTAATTAGAATAAGATAGACTTAAAAAATCGCGTAAATAGTTGAGGTTTTGTATACTGGCATTTTACTAAAATCAAAAAAAAAAAAATAGCTAATCTAGTCATGTTTTTTTTTTAAATATTCGAACTCAGCACACTTCACTCCGTCTACAACAGCCATGTTCATATGGTAGTTTTTCGTACGCCAGCGATCTCTACTTTCAGTAAACAGCTCGATACTTTTTCAACTTTTCCCCCCTTAGGAGATGGTTCTTCTTGACTCTACACTCCATACTTTCCTTGTTATAGAATGTCACACGTCATTGATTTACCTGCTTATCCTAAAATGTAATGTACGTTTTTTTTAAAAGTCTACTAGCAACCAAAATTACTAGTATGCCCGTTAACCCTTCCCGCTAAGCTAAATTGCTTGTGTTAGGAGTGGGCTCACATCGGTAGTGTACTGGTCAGGATTCGAATCCCACGACCTCTTGATCGCAAGTCCAATGCCTTACGTAACAACATACGAAGAAACAGAATGACACATAAAAAGAATTCACAACAAATATAAAAATATAGATAATGGTTTCACATCACATCATCAACAGCCTATAATAGTCCACTGCTGGACACAGGCCTCTCTTTAGAAAGGAGGTTTTGGCCACTATAAAACGATGGCCAGACAGGTTGGTATAGGAATGCTCTCCCTCTCGAAGTCAGGATAGCATTCAATGAAAGCTAGAGCTCGCATCCTGGACACGCTAGCAGATTCATCACAACCTTGAAATTTTCTTGATTTATAGGCTTATGTATGTATAAGTATTTGTGTATGTGTATGTATTTGGTACGTATGAATGTATGTATATTTATCGCATTACTTCTACCTAACTTATCAATCATTTTCTTTTACTTCTCCTATTAATGTCTAGTGCACCTAGCCACACATTTCAGCACCACCCTAAGGTAGACTGGGAGAAAATGCCTATGGCATTAAGTCCGCCAATGTACAGCTTGTGCATAAAGAATAAAATAAATAAAAATATAGGGTTTGTTTCAAGTTTTCCTTCTCTTTGCAGTGCTGTTGTCTTGCATAGCTCCCTAAGTCGACTCCTACAACACAAACACGATGAATAGGGGTGGTGACAGTCCATATTCTTAATCCGTCACCACACGGACTGATAATTGTATGCCTCATAATATTTCTACATTTATTTATTTCATTCTTTAATCTCTCTATTCAAGCCATTTAGGATATTTCACAAGAAAGCCAATCTAATCTAAACCAGATATCAATTCCGATAAATAAAAGTGACGACTTAAGCACGTGTACTTAAATTGGCGTAATACACCGATCTCAAGGTGAAATAAATTATTGACAATGATGATTTGACAATACATATACATACATACATAAATACACTCACACCTACATCGCAGTAGGGATAGGCAGGCGTATTACACGCCCACATTTTATCTATACATCTAAAATTACCTGACTGATTCATCAACACAGAACCTAAAACGCTGGGGCTACAATTTTGAATTTTTGGCAGATGACGCTTTTTATATTGTAAGCACCCACTAGGAAAAGGATTTTTGGATATTTTACCCTGTAAAGTAAGCAAAGATGGGCAAATTAGGTGTATTTGAAAAGAAAAAGAAGAAAAGGCAGTGATGGGAAAAGAATATTGCTTATACGGGTTAATTGGGGAATGTACGCAATACCTCGACTTGGTCAGGATCATACATCATAGAATCAAGGAAATGGTATGTATAAAAGCAAGTGTGAATTAATTACATTAGCATTTTATCGTAGCCTATGATCGCTTGCACCAACAGAGGGCTTACATGCGTGTTGCTAACTCTTTGAATACCTCTACACTCTATTCTGAAAGAACCCTACATCTTTTCCCTCAGGAAAATCTCGACCAGGAGCGTATATTACAACCGGAGCGTTCAGGAGTAAATTTCTCTGAAACCGTACCGTGAACGAACATTTAAGTTCTAAAGTTGATATTCTATTGTGGTTTTAGAATTTGGTTGTAGTTATCATGTTAAACGGTTCATCGGAGCACAACCGATACCCAAGCAATACATGCGCACACGC